GCATGCTCTGATGTAGTAGGGGTTAGTTATGAATTGGGAGGAGATAAAATTCAGCTCACAACACACACCAGCACTGCATCATTAATTCCTCTTTTGGACCTAAGCCCCTCTGACTCAGAAGCATTACTACAAACCACTGGGCAGGTTCAGGCTGCACAGCTCACGAACTGGAATTCGGTTTCTTTGGCCACTAGGCAGAGACACATTTAGGTCCAACCTGGGTCTGTTGGACAGAGCCTCCAGGAGCCCAGTAGTGGCCCACGTCTATGTGGTACAGAAATGGAAAGCATGTGTCCACACTCCCGTCCAGGACACAGGGGGCAAAGAGTCCCTCAGGAAACTTTCACAGAGATTTTACAACTGGCCAGTGCCTGGCCCTGTGCCTGGTGTTCTCCAGCCAAGGAAAAGTACTGCTGAGAATTACTGCTTAGTGATTCAGAGCTTTTACTGAAGTTATAAAAATCCAGGCATTTCTGAGCAGTGTATGAATCACAGGAAAGCACCCTGATTATTTTTTACCTAGGAGCTGGCAGAGTTTGGCACTGAGTAAATGCAGTAGCTCATGAAACACCGCTTCCTTTGATGTGGTTTCAGAGTTTCTCAGGACCATGGTGGCCAGAAGTGGAAACTGTCAGGGAAAAGTGCCTTGTCCTGACTCCTGTCTGGCCTCAAGCAATGTCATCTAAAGGTGCATGGGTAGCTAAAGAAGGGTAAAAGGAAGAGAGGACCCTCCTTCATCTTATCAGGGCAGTAAAACCTGGAAGTCTGACAGTGTGGAGCAGTGTCAGGAGGTGAGGGAGTGGGCTCTTACACATCTGCTGGGCTTGTAGCACAGATACAGCTCAGAAACCACATTGGCTTGTGCCCTGCAAAGAGAGAAGTGTGCATACACCGTAGACCAGAGATCCTTGCATGTGTGCCAAGAGGGTATCCAGAAGGTGGGTTTTTGTACTATTATTCCCAAAATTGAAAAATGCAGAACAAGGTTTATTGGTGGACTCTCATAGCCAGGAGGTTGAGACAGAGAGATTGCAAGTTTGAGCCAACCCGGAAAACTTGGCGATTTAGTGAGACCTTGTCTCCAGATAAAAACTGGAAAGACTCTGGTAGCTAGGGATGTAGTTACACATGCAGACCTGAGCTTCAGCCTCCAGGACAAGGGGACAAAAGAAAGGTGAGCCAGGTACAGACTCTCACACTGCAGTGTTGAATAGAGAAGGCAAATTACACACAGATCCTGTGCAGAAAAATGTTCCTGCCACAAGCTGCAGCCACCCTTTTTTTAAACCTGCATGCAAGGTGAACCCATGGCTGGTGTCTGGGGCTGTGAGCTGTGGGAGGCCACGTACCATGTCCAGGCTGGCAAGCACACCTCCATTTCTGAGCAGAACAGACAAGACAGTGTGTGCCAGACACCACTTTCTTCCAAGAGGCTGAGAGTCAGTGCCCGTGGGAACAGGCTGCTCTGAATGCCCTGGCGACCAAGTCCCAGGGGGACAACTCCATCCTGCTGTCACCACACATGACTGAAATTCAGCATGTCTGCATGGCCCCCTGGGAAGGAGATCCTGGAAGTCACTGCTTTGTGTTTCCTGTCATTAAACCTGGATACCAAAGTTTTACCTTAGAAAAAACAACTTTACATTAACATCTTTGTCATAAAAGAAGAATGTATGTGCTGTAGGTTCACCACCTAGACCAGTGCCTCTGGTCTAAGAAGAAAAGTAACTGATTTTAACCAATAAAAATACTTACATCAAACACAATCATTTTGGTCTCACCACTGCCTTGGAATTTCACTTAGAAAAATGTAAGCATTTTAACTTTATTGGCAAACTTTCTATGAGATATTAAACCAAGTCCAAGGGCAGCATTAGAATCATAGTTTCTTTCAAAGTGTGAAAGAATCTGAAACAAGCAGAAGAAATTATGGTGTAGGGCACTGACCAGTTCCCGATGGTGTGTGTGTGTGTGTGTTCACTTTAAGTTTCTTCCAAGGCTGTTTTAACATCACACTAGTTGCCCCATTGGTTAAAAAGTGAAAATCATGGATGCAGGGACCAATCAGCAAGAGGCCATCACTGCGAAAGGGCAGCCAGTGAGCACTAGGTCTCAGCACTGTGCCTGGGAGAATCTGCTGCCACCACATGGAAAGCACCAAATCCTGGGCGGAAGAGGGAAGCTGAGTGTATCCTTAGCCACACTGGCCGGTTCCAGGAAACTGAGATTCTAAACTAGCTCACTTCCTCCTCCTCCTCCTCCTCCTCCCCCTCCTCCTGCTCCTCCTCCTCCTTCTTCTCTCTCTCTCTCTCTCTCTCTCTCTCTCATTTTCTTCACATACAACACAGAATGTCATCGTCTTCATCCTTAGCAAAGAACCTGTCATATGTGAAATGTTCCATGAAATTGACAAAAATAGAGTCACAGCACACGGGCGATTGTTTCAGCCTCACGATCTTCTTTCTTGCCTTTGTTAAAATAATCTCCAACAAAATGATCTCAAAAGTGCCCCGTAATTCTAACCACTGACAACTAATTCTGTCATATATAATTAGCCATGACCATATATGTTTTATTTTGCTTTCTAAATCTGTCCCTTCCTAAACAGTATCTATCTGAATGGAATGAGGATTAGTCCAATTTCATTGTAACATACAGGAAACTTCTTTCTAACTAGCAGCTAAAAATTTTACCTCTGCCTGGAAACTACATGAAAGTTATCAATATGACATTAAATTTAGAGATGTTTTAAAATAGAAATGGAAGGTTAAGCTAGAATAAGATTTCGAGGATGGGTGTAATAGTGCTTCTGAGTGGCATCTCCACGGTGTCTGCCGTAGCCCTGGGAGGCAGCTGGGTTCCTCCTTCGTCCCATGCTAATGGTGGTGAGTGTCACTCATTGAGAGGCTGACAGGCAGAGGGAGTGGTTGTCTTGAGCTGCATTTACGTCTAGTGTCAGCGCTGTGTTCTTCCAGCTTGGGAGTCATTTGACCTCCCTTGGAATCCAGCTGGTCAGTTTTATTTGGGATATGAAAAGTTGCTAGTTCTATGTTAACCTCTTTGAATGTTACTTGATATGGTAGTTGGAAGAATAGTCTGGAAGAAGCAAATTGACTGTTTGAATCCAGAAGAAGCTGCAGGCTTTGTTCTTAGAGAGAAAATAACCTCAGGAACATGGATTCCAAGACATGAGCCTTTGGGTGTCTGATTTTGGATGTTTATGATGACGTTGAAAGGACCCTCGAATCCCCTACCCCTCAACATCTGTGAACCCCATGCAGGAACTGAAACACAGAGTCACCAGAAGGATTGTCTGCCAAGGTCATTCTTCTCAGACAAGCGAGAGCCATACCAGCAGAAACTCCAGCATGCAGAGCACAGCATCCTCTGCCGGACCAGCATGCGTCTCTAGCTCACACATGGGGGACTCTAGCTGCTAACACCCAGCTAGCCACTGAGCCTCTGTGAAAAAGTAATAGTTTAGGAGTGTGACAACAGAGATCTGGGTATGCACCATTTTACCTTGGTGGTCTTTTTGTGAAGTTTTCAATTGTGACTCTCTCCTGGGCTGAACTATGCTCCCCAACACAAATAACTGTTCCTGTGAGTGTGAGTTTTCTTAGAAACAGGATTTGTAAAGATGTAAAATGAGATAACCAGGACAACAGGAAAGCCTAATCCAATATGACTTGCATGTAAGAGGGAAAGAGATTCACAGAGGTAATGTCACAAAATGAGAGACAGGGATTGAGTCAATGTACCTTTTGGTGATGAAACTTAATTGTGTCAACTTGATTCACCAAGAGCTGCACAGGACATTAGCAACACACACTTCTGGGTTTCAGGAGGGTCATGGGAGTACTAAACGTGGTCCCTCCTGCTCTCCTTCTCCACCAAGAATTTCTCTCTCAGACTCTCTCACCATGATGTTTCTAATTTGAGGCCAGCTGATCATGGACTGAATCTTCCGAAACCATGAGCTGAATAAATTGTATGTATTGTATATTTGGCCCCAGCAACAGGAATGTTAACTGCTCTATATCTACAAATCAAGGACTGCCAGCAGCACCAGATGCAGTAAACACCAAACACTCTTTTTCCTCTGGGGGCTTCAAAGGGATGATGATTCCAAAGATACCTGTTGTTTAAATTCTAAGACTCCTCAACTGTGAGAGAATAAGCTGCTATTGTTTCAAGCTACCCAGTTTGTGGTCAGTTTTTACAGCTACCTAAAAGGTTACACAGACTGATTAGAGGTCTGTAAAATTAATTTACTTGAGCACAACCAGCAGTCTGGGGTTGGGGAGAAAGGTTCAGAATGGAATATTAGGCTGCACCTATATCAAGTACCACACTACCTTCTGCAGAAGACCCCTATCCCCATTTTCCAGAACTAATCCAATTATAAGGGAAAAAGCATTTCTTGCTGGCAATCATGGTCAGAAAATCACTCCCTGTCAAATGTTTTTACTGAAAGCAGGTTTGGAAAGGAAAGAAGAGCAAATACAGAGGCTCCCGGGTGGGCAGAGAGGCAGCGGAATCTAAGACAGCATTAGCAAGGCACTGCCAGGGCAACCTCCCCTCGGAGGGACCTGTTTCTGCTTCCAGGACAATCTGCCCCTTGGCTGAAAGAGCTGTGATTAGCCCTCCCACATTGAGGGGACAACCAGCATTTAAATCAGAAAGCATCCTGGCACTGTGACCAACATCCACAACCCCTTTGGGCGCTGTCCACTTCCAGTGAAGCCCAGCTTGATCAATAAGAGCCCAATTCCCACCCCAGACTACACTCCACTCCCTGACTTCCTGACACGCTGCAGATGACCTGCTGGGGGCAGCCACTGTCCACCTGCCAGTGCCCTCCCTGAGAAAGGGTTTTCCTTCTTGCCCCACAGAGGGAGGCCCCATAACTTAGGCCAGGGAGATGCTGTGGGGAGTGACTGCATGACTGAAAGTCCTCATGGAAGGAAACAAACTCTCCTGGGCTTCTCAGCACTCACCAAATAGCCTCCAAAGATGTGCTGTGGTTCTGCAAGCTGTTTCCCTCTGCTTGGAGACCAGCAGTGTCAGTGGGCAGATGTCAGCTGGAGCTTGGATGAGGAGTCCATGTTCCAGAGGTCCAGAAGTCTATAGAGACTACTCACGAGCAAGAGATAACTTTACAGTAAGCCACTGGGCTGCAGGCTCGTTGTTACTGTAGAATCGGGACAGCTAAGCTGGCTGACACTCCCCCCGCCAAGGCTAAAGGACAAACACACCACACCGGGTGAATGCCATGGGGGTGCGGGGTGGAACAAAGCTATGGTAGATAGACTGAGTTTCAACTTAATGTCCCTCCAAGAAAGGACTTTCGCCATGGCTATTGGTAGTCAGTCTTCCTCCACCCCTTCAGAGACAGCTCCACGGGAGGAAGCTTTCCCAACAAAGCTCAACCCCTTCCCCAGGAGATTCTGCCCAGTGCCTAGCTAAAGCAGGTTGCAAAGGACCTTAATTCAGAAGGATTCTCAGGGGCCTTTTGACCCACTGAACCTGACTGAAGCTACAACCAAACTGACGTCAAAGTCTGGCTTCTCTATCTTCCCAGTTCTGCTTCTTTCTCTTCCCTTCCACTGCTATGAGTTCCAAACACCTTCCCTAGTAAACACTCCACATGCTAAATCTTACCTCCAACTGTGTTTCCTGGGAACTCAGCTCCCCAAAACAGCAGCAGACCTGGGACACACAAGCGTGGATCTCAAACCAATAAGTGTTGCTGTGAATAAAAACCAAGCAAATCTCATGCAGTTCCCAATTCATTCCCACCCACTTCGTGAAGATAACCAGACATAGCTCTCCGCCTAGCACAGAGCCACTCACCAAAGAGCCTTTTTCAGACCAGTTTTCCTCACATCTCCAGGTGCTTCCAATAACAGGCCCAGGCAAGGATAGTTCAGTCTTAGAACTTAGAGCCTCAGTAGAGTGCACAGACCGTGGAGGACGCAAACAAGCCCTGCAATGCTTTCCAACAGGCTCACCCACGATGTCCCTACGGATACAACACTGGCAGCTTCCTCAGATTTCTTTTCAGCCTTCACAAATGGAATAGAGATGTAAATAAAATAAAATCATTAAATCTCATGATATTAACCAATCATATTAAAGGGAAAATATCTCTCCTGTGTTGACTGTCACAGCACAGGTGCTAGTCGCCAAAGCTGTGCATCTGATCATCACGAGTGACTCCCATACATCGCTTCTCCCATTGCGATCTAGATCACAGAGCCGAGGCGAGAAACATCTTCATTTGAGGAATATATGCTGGGCAATGGTGCATACATCACCCGGTGACACCAGAGGTTTTGTACTCACAGAGGCTGATAAATTTTTAGCTGCAATCCCAGAGAAACAAATGATAAACATCCATGACACTGAGTGTGTTTTGTGTTAGTAATGATGCACGATGAGAAAAGGTTTCTATGTCGATCAATACTGGAGATGTAAGAAAAATGCTGTACGACTCACACATACTGTTCCTGTGTCTACGCATGCTGTACAGCTTCACAGTGTAGTTAATAAAAGCATCAATTCAGAAGTTTCACTAAAATCAAGAAGCCAAAGTAGACAGCAACACGGAATCTACCAGAGGGCACTTCTGAGTGTGAACAGCCAGGTCTTGTGAAAGAACTCGGCATAACTGCAATTTGGCAAACAGGAGAGGAACTGAGATTTGAATATATTAATCTATTGATTCCACATACATCTCATGTCTTATTTTCAAAGTCCCCAGAAAAGAGGGGAAGTCTCATACTTAGCAATGCTCAATATTTCGACCTGTCACATAACATTTCGACAGAACATATGTTTTCTGAGTCATGCTTGCACAGGGCCCGCACTATTTGTGGGAGCTGCCCACACAGAGAGGCAACGGGAAGCGTGGCCCCCAACCTCATCAGAGGCAGAGTGTACCTTCCTGGGAAGTTTCTTTTTTGCTTCAGTTTTTTGTTGTGGTAAAAATACACTTAAAATTTAGCATTTTAACTATTTGCAATGTGGTTTTGTACTGCATTTATTATGCAATCACGATGCTGTGCAATTACCAGTCTCTCACATCCCCATCTGCAGGACGCTTTCCTTCTCACGGAACTGAAAATCCTCACTCAGTGATCCCCATTCTTCCCTCACCCAGACGCCGTGCTACTTTCTGCCTGTGTGGTTCTGCCTACTTTTAGCACCTCACAATTGTAGAGCCACACGGTATTTGTCCTCCTGTGACCGGCTTATATCTTTAAGCATAACGCCCTCCAGTCTCCCTCATGTTGTAGCATGGGGATAAATTTCCTTGCTTTTTAAAGCCGCATACCGTTCCATCTTCATTCACCTGTTCATCTATCGAAGGAGTTTTCAGTTGCTCCTGCATTTTAGTTGTTGTGGATAACACTGCTGTAATATGGGTGTACACCTAGCTCCTTGAGACCCCACTTGCGAGCCTTAACCTAGTGAATAATGAAGCATTTAGCAAGATACTTAAAGGGTGAATTCTTTTCCACTGGCAGAGAGAAAGGTGTGCATTTCACGGGAGAATCCTGGATTAAATCCAGTAAAGAAGAAAGCAAGCCCAGGGAAAGCGATGTCCCTGGTAGCGGGCCAAGGCTGAGGATGGCACTTGGCAGGTTGCTTGGAATCACGCTACAGAGGGTTGAGCTTTGCCCATTAATAATTTTGAGCCAAGAAAGGAACTAAAAATAATACTGAAGGGTTTATATCAATAACATGACATGATTACTCGATACTGTCAGAATGGGGAATTAATTGGGATGATCCTAGACTGGGAGAGAGAAATTAAATAACCCACAAAGGCAAGTCTTACACAAGTGGTAATTAGGGTGGTTCTTGGCATGCAGTGTGGGGTCCAGAAATACTCGTCAGTCAACTGGATGGTGAAGTAGCCCTGAAAAAGAGGAGACAGACTTGAGACAGACTGAGCAAGCAAAATCTATAGGACTCCTTTTGGATTTGGGGAAGCCCAAAATATAATGATGTCACAGCCACTTTGGCTGGGAATGTGACCAGGCTGCCTGCGGATGCATCCAACTTCTGGTAGTGAGGTCTAGCCTTCCTTGGGCAGCCATGCAGAAAGCATTCCATAATCATTTACTCTGTCCCAGCCTCAGCCCTAAACTTCTGTGACTGATGTTTAGGGGTTGTTTTTACCTCTCAGGGTTCCCAAATGGCTGCTGCACCTCCAAGCAAATGAAAGATATTGCCCAAAACAGGAGCTGCTCCCAGGATGTCTCCCAGAAGTAGCTGGAGTGCGATTATCACTCAGCAAACAGAAACTTACTCTACTGCACAGCACTGTCTCCTGAAAAACCAAGGAGCAGAGAAACCACTGAACTGCACACTCCATGGATCTTGAGGGAGGATTCGGTACTCTGGGCCCAAGCTCACAAAGTGCAGGAGCTCCCTCAGCAATCATGAAATTTAAAATCCACTCCCACCTTTCCAAACATTTCCTAGGAGAGCAATCAGATTCCAGAGTGTCTGATTGCTCTCCTAAGAGGAGATTCCTAGGAACTGATAGAGGTTCCTATGAACTGATAAACTAGCAATGATCACAAATATTTCTCAACAGCTGCCCAAGGGAAAATGTAGAATCTAAGAGAACAACTGGTGACCCATGAGGACTTACAAGGTTGAGAGGGCAGAGTTCTAAGATGACTGAGCAGTGACCCCCACACCATGTAGAATCCCCTCCTTTTAAGAATGGATGGGGCCTGTACAGATCCCGGACATGCCAGAGGGCACAGCTGACTCCAGGATGGAGATTATCTCCACCTCCAGACCTCAACTAACAAGGGCATCTCCAGGAAGAAGACACTTGCAGCAGAGAGGGATTTACTGAGAGGAAATATGCCCCATGACAGGCAGGGACGATGTAGGCAACAATGTGACCCAAAATGAAAACCACTTCTGGAGACTGAGGATAGCCCCTCCTGACTGCACACAAGAGGAAGGAGACTTCAGTCATTTGACCCCAAGAGCCGAGTTCTGCCACCACCCAGGAGGATACAGGAAGCAGGCACTTTCTCCAGGCCTGCAGACAAGGACGTAAGTGAGATAACACTGATGTTCCAACCTTGAGATCCCGGGTCTAGAGCCCGACCTGAATCTACTATCTGCAAGACTTTGAAATCAGTATTTGTGCTCTAAGTTGGTGCAAAAGTAGTGCTAAAACACTCCTCAAGACAACTGACCTCCTTTGGCTGTAATTTTCTAATTATTGTTGCTATTATTTGACTTCTCACGTGCCTTAATGCGGGCCTTGGTGAGACACAGCACGATCCCTGTATAACCGAGGAAAGATGCCATCCACAGGAAGGAAGATGCAGAGTTCCAGTCCAGCAGCACTGGGGGATGCTAGCAACCTCAGGCCCACAGGAAAGGGAAAATGCTAGTGTGGAGTCCAGAGGAGGCTGCTCTCAGGAAAGGAGCTGCATTTGCTGGTATAGAACTTAGTCGAGACCCTGGAGCTCAACACGGGAACTGGAAGACCGTCTTCCTGTGCCTTTTGCCCAACCCAATAGGAAGGCAGAGGCTAGGGAACCTGAGAACTGGTCCATGTGGGAGCGCCTTCCGCAGCATGTGGCAGGTGGTTGAGGGTTCTGTTGCTCAGTGCAGGTAGAAATCACAACTCATTAAAGTGCAGCTTTGTTAGCTCCCAGGTTCTCAGTGCCAGTGACCCTCAGTGCTCAGGGCTGCAGCACTGTAGTGTCACAGCCATTGGTGGCTTCTAGCCCTCTCCATCAGCTCCTCAGCAGCCAGTTGTTGCCCCTTAGCAGCTCTGCCAGCAGCTTTCACCTCCTTTATGTAGCTCTCTCCAGGTCTCTGCCAAGCACTGCCAGGCTCCAGTCAGTGCTCCTTGTCACCATGGTTCACAGCCACCGATCAAGGCCAGCTGATGTCTGTCATCACCAGTCAAGGTGGCCAGTCTCTCAGTCCATTCGTTTCTGCTGCTGGCCTCCTCTAGCCTCCACAGGCTGCTTCTGGTCCCTGTTGCTGGTCTCCAGAACTCTTTAGGCCTGGCAGCACCTAGTGTTTATAACACTTTTTAACATAGCCCAAATTCTGAAAGACTTAACGGAACTTCCAAGCCCATATGATACAAAATAGGACTCTGGAGCAAGAGCACTGGAGGGGGCTCTTTCACCTGTGCTGGAGGGGAGTCAGTCCCATGCAGGGAGCCTCTATCCACCCCAGGAGGGTAAGGGAGCCCTATACAGAGCAGTGGCAGGGGGAGTCATCTGAGTTCATCTGAGCTTCCAGCCCGACAGGGTGGTCTCCAGGGATTAGCCACAGGCAAAGTGAGCTGAGACTGGTCAAAAACTTTAAGCCTATTGCATAAGAATTATCTGCAGGCCACAGGCCACAATCTCCAGGCAGAGGCATTCTTATGGTTTGAGAACTGGTGGTCAACTTAACACTAGCTGGATTACATCAGCATGCATTGAGTGAAGATGCTCCACCTGAGGAGGGTTGCCAGGATAAATAGGTGGAGAAGAAGGGAGGTGTTGAGGGTTGAGGCTTAAGGAGGCATTGTGGGTTCTCCTACGAGTTGCTGTCTGAGCTGTTGGTTCTCCTGGAGAAGCTTTGGTCCTCACATCGAGCATTGCTTCCTGGCTCGGGGGGGGGGGGGGGGGGGACACGTGCTGTCTGGTCTCCAGGATGAACTCGTCACGCTGCTTCCTGGCACGTTCCTGACTGTGCTTGTCGGAGGAGGAGCTCGGGGCCTCCATGTCGCTGAGGACATCTGTGGTGCCTTCAGGATAGCCCTGGTCTTTGTTGTGAGTGTGACTTCTCTGCTCCAGCGTAGAACCCTCATCCCACTAGCACAGCTCCTTCATCCTGCTGTCATAGACTTTCTGGCTTCCACCGCTGACTGTTGGGTCTTCCCGGCATGGATCCATAAAAGAGACTGGCATGAGTCCTTCTTGTGGGCCCTGGACTTCCAGTTGGACTCGTGGAGGCATTGTCCTGAGCTTTGGGTTTTTATCTGGACTCATGTGGGACATTGCTGTGGGGTTTAGGGTCTTGACTAAATAATCTATGTCATTGGTGTTGCGGAGAGATTTCCTGCATTTTCATGTGTTAATTTCTGGTGACTATTATAAAAATATTATAAACTCCATGTCCTGATCCTAGTTGTTCTCTGTGTACAACCCCTGACTACAACAGGCATAAAGGCCTCATCTGAGCTTTATGCCTGTGGTGGCCACGACACAGCCAGTGCTGTCCTGGAGCTGCTGTCCACACCCTCGACAGCTGAAGCTCTCATGCTGACAGCTTGGCAGCTCTTCAGCAGGGGCTGCTTTACTGACAGCTGTCACTGTCTTCCAGGGGCTCCAAGAGGGCCAGCAATGGGGAGCCAAGCCACCCTAGGGGACCAAGGGGTTATAAAAGGGTGCATGGGGAAGGGGTGCGACAGCTGCTAGTCAGGGCCACCACTTTCCAGCTGTCATAGGGAAGGAAGCAGTAGAGCCATTTCCTGTCCATCCCCAGTAGAGGAGAATACACAGTGAATGAAAATCTTCAGCACAGAAGAGGTGCTGATGTCAAAAACTATCCCGAACAGGAATAGTCAGAGCTTTGGGGACATCTGGCCTCTAGAGATAGAAGCCCATCACAAACTGCCCTTTTGAAAATTCTTCCATAGCCTGGACAACCTCAGGCCAAGGCAGAGTGGACACCTAGGCCCTGGCCACGCAAATACCAAGCTGAAAAGAGGCACCTGTCTCCACAGCAGAGACACAGCAGTGCCCGCTTCTGTCTCCAAGACAGACCTGCACAGAGCTGAGAAAGGGACAGGATACATTCAGTGGTCCCATCCCAGGAAAGAAGGCACATTCAAGTGGCTCTAGACTTCAAGACAGAGGAGGAGAGAAGCTTCCCCAGAGAGAGGGATACCATGTGTGAAGGCATGAGCTAGAATGTCCAGGCGAGGACCAGAGGTGCAGTGTGACCCGAGGGAGGAACATGTGTGGTGGGTCACGTGTGTGCACATGTGCATGGCTCTGGGAAGAGTGCCAAGTGGTGGCCCAGTGAGAGCAACTGCTGCAAGCTGGGTGGCCCAGTGGAGCTCCTGAGGCAGGAGAACCTTGCGAGTACAGGTCTGAAGCAGGGTAATTCTGTCTCAGGATTGGGATGGGTAGGTGCCATCTCCTGGGCGGCTCGGGCTTAGGCAAGGCGAGGCGAGTCGCTAACAGAGGGTTATAAGTGCACGCAACTGCCTCCGCTCAGCCACCCCTGCAGAGGCCACAGCTGCACAAGGCCGGGTCCCCTGCTGGGTCCCTGCCATGTGGTGATGAAGCAGGGACCCCACTGCACATTGGGGCCATGCTGCTCAAGCCTTCTGGCTTAACTAGGAAGGAAGGAAGGAAGATCATGCTGACCTGCATAATCCCACCTGATTAATCAGGACATGCAGACAGGACCTGCAGGGGAGACTGACAGTGGCCACCACTGTAGGACACAGCTCTCACTCATCACTGTCCTGCCGTGTCCCCAGCACAGTCCCTGCCAGGACTTGTGGGAAAGGGGCCCACAGGAGGGGCCGCTTCCTTGGATTCTGCACACAACCTCTATCTGCACCAAAACGCACAACCACAACGAGACATCCTTCCCATACAAGGACCTGAATTTTGTCCACATACATGTGAATAAACCAATAATGTAATCAAGGTTGATTAAGGAACATGGAAGTAGAATAATTCCTCCTTCAATCAAGCCCATTAAAAGATGGCACCGTCCCCAGCAACTGGAGCTTGAACATGGCCTGGAAAGGAAGAAATCTGCACTCTTTACAAAAGAACCTGAGCTTCTCAGGCTTCAAAGCTTTGTCTTCTCCCTCCGCAACCTCATGAACCCACAAGCCTCTGCCCAGCAGAGGAAAGG